CCATCCCGAGAATGCTTTACTACTAAACGGTGAGCGGATCGAATCCATCGAAAGCTTCAGGTATTTGGACTCAACCATTCTCCCCAACGGCCAAGCTATTGATGAGGTGCAAAGGCGCGTCGATGCTGCAAGAAGGGCGTTTTTACAGTTGAAGAATTCCCTTTGGCGCAGCCTCAAGACAAAAAACAGAGTTTCCTCCGCAGCAGTCCGTCCTGTTTTGCTGTACAGCTGCGAAACCTGGCCACTCACAGTCGAAGACTGTCGCAGATTAGAAGTCTTCGATCACTGGTGCTTAAAAATCATTCTGGGAGTTCGATGGAGGGATCAACTCTCAAATGAAGTGGTCAGAAATCGGTGTTTTAATCTTGTACGGCTGAGGACGCTAATACAACGCCGACGACTGCAATGGTTTGGCCACATTCTTCGCAAGCCTGACAACGACCTGACGAAAGCTGTCTTAGCACCACCTCCCTGCCCGAACTGGCGATGTCGGCTCGGTGGACAGCTGAAAACCTGGTTCGACACGGTGCGAAAGGATACCGAAAACCTTGGCCTCCGCTCCGTCTACGGCGTTCGCCAATGGAAGTCAAACTGGATCACAATATGCGCTGATCTTGCCGCAGATCGTCGAGCGTGAGCAGCGGCAATTCGAGATATCCATGAAGCCGGCTTATCCTCTCCCAGGAGCCAGCCGCCATAAAGTAAAGTAAAGTAAATTCCTATACTCATGTACAGACCTATGCCTATCATTACTGTTCAAAGTATGCGTTCTATTTAGAAGTTGTTTTAATAATTATCCAGAACAAAGAATTTTCCCCAGATTCACAACAACGTGAACAGGAAGTTAAACCGATGACGAATGAGTGGCAACGAGTTGGATGCTTGAATTGGAACAATGTGAATTCGAGCTGTACGGAATTTTACTGTTGTAAGATTGGAATTCTCACTAACCAAAAACCGATAAACAGTAACCGGTCCGGACGTAAATCCTATAGCAGAAACCAATCACCGCAGAGTAAGGCTGAGTCAACAACGAATGGAATATGGAAACAAATTAAAACTCACAGATCGACAGGTTCTTTCACACTAGGTAATAACAGCTTAGACAGTCTGGCAAAGTCCATTTCTTCTTGCATTACCCAATCGTCCTTGATTTGAACGGAAGCGTCACGAACTGTGTGATGTGGTTGACGACGTTCATTTGTGGAACCCCATGCGCCGGGCTGGCGCCATCCTGTCTGACCCCCACGACGTCCTTGTCCACCAGGACCCCATTGTTGCCAGCGACGATTTTGATTTTGCATCATTCGTTCACGTTCTGACATATTTCGTAACTTGCGATTTTGGTAGTTGGATCCCTGTTGAACATAGCCTCCACGAGTACCCACATATGGATACGCTCCACCCGGAGCTCCACGTCGACCACGCTGTGATAAAAAAAATATCGTAAAGTTTAAACATTAAGAAATAAAAGGGTTGAAAGGAGCAAGTTGAACTTCGTATCAACCGATTCGGGTATGGGTAAGTGACAGTTTTGATCTAAACCAACCCGTAAAGGAGATCATTCGAGTCATGATGCGGCTCACATCGTGGGAAAAAATAAGTGAACGGAGGTAACAGATTATATACTCACGTTAAGTGCACTCAAAAGTTGGCCACGCTCAGTTTAGTGGCAATTCCATGGAGCACTTCAAACGATTTCACAAACAGTAGTACCTCAGATGGAAATCTTGCACTTATTCTCCATTGACTTACTTCGACTAGCGTCACACCGCCTTCTTCGCTGGATGAAGCCCTTTCTTATCCTCAATGAATCTTCAAACCAGTAACATTTAACGTGGATAGCTTGATACGAACAGCGTAACACTTTGGAGACACTGAAAGGTTTCTTCTTCATGGGGAGGGGTCAATAGTTCTCCTTATATTTCACACAGATCAAATATGTATACACACGTTTTCCAGCATTGTGGTCTGATGGGAAGTGACAACAAGAAAACCACTACTGTCGGTTTTCAGCCATGACCTACAGCGTCTCCAACCATCCAGTTACAAAATATTTGACATCCCCAACCCGGAAGACGAGAGACACCTACCTAACCGTTCAGTGTAGTTCTTCACTGAGTGATAAGGTAGAGTAGTTGTTTCTGCCCAGCTTTCTTCGCCCTTTGCCGTCTCCGGGTGTAACAAAACTGCCTTATATCTTTGTTCCTCCACAACTTTGCCATAGAGCATGTTCCACAGATTTTTCATTACACATCTTAAAGCAGTGAACAGCAGACTGGGTGGACCTCACAGTCACGAAGACCCAATGCTCAGTGATGTAAACCAGAAATTGGAGTGACGAGCCACATAAGACCCGCTAGGTTAGGCGTGGAGTTGATCAGGACGAAAGCAAACCTGTCTACCATTAAAATTAGGTGGCAGGGGCGAGGTTCGAACCTCGGACCATAAGGTCCAAAGCAATCCAGTGACAGCAACTGAACCACTGCGAATTCGATGTGACAACGCATCATTCATTGAATCATTACAAAAAACTAAACGGCTTACTAAAGTGCTGTTTATACATTCAATGCATCCAACGCCCGCTAAACTAACACAAGGTCGATAGTCGAAGACTTCTAAATGATGAATAGCTTCCTCGCAACCGAAAAGCAGAACTGACCGCGCAGTGGCGCACTATACGCGAACTTTCGTTTGCAAGGAAACATCACATCGGTGCAAAAGACGTTTCAGTTCTGCTGCTCGTGCAGTCACCTCCTTGACTCCGATACAGTCACTGATCACGCAACTGCCTAAGAGAAACAATTTACTAAAACTCTTGACCATTAGGCATCAGAGGGGTGGACGATACCTAGTCCTGCAGCCTTAGTGCACTTTGAAGATGCAAAGCGCATACTAAATGGAGTTATATGACGCTTTGCGTATCCTTCATACTGACAAACAATGTCGTCAGCATAATCTAAATTGCAGTTTTTTTCATATCTGTTTAGTACCTACCATTTACCATCACGACGAGACTGCACCTTGACGTGGTGTGATGGCTTGCGCGCCTCAGTGACC